CGGATGACGCCCGGGCCGTGCCGGGCTGGCAGGACATGGTCCGTCCCGCCTCTGAGCAGGATGCGGCCGGCGCCGAGTTCGCGAGAGCGCAAGAGGTCCGAGCTGTTGCCAGGAGGATGGCCCTCGAGGTCAATGCCCGCGAGAAGATCAGCCGTGCCTCGCGTTCCCGGGTTCCAGGGACTCGCCAGTTCTCTCCAGGACAGTGGGTCTTCGTGTGGCGTCACATGAGCCGCACCTCATCTCGAGCTGACGCCCTGGGGCGAAGGCGCGACGGCTGGACCGGACCCGGTGTCGTGGTGCTCTGTGAGCAAGGCACCGTGTGGGTCGCGGTGCGTGCGAGGCTCTGGAAGTGCTCGCTTGAGCAGGTCCGATTAGCCAGTCCCGAAGAAGAATACGGTATCCAGCTCGCGCAGAGCCCCCAGTGGCAAGACCTGCTCCGCCAGGTTCACACCAGGAGAGCGTCAGCCGTGGATGTCCAGCGCGAGGGACCGCCTCCGGACGAAGCGTGGGATGAGCCATCCCGGGTGGAGTTCGACCCGGCGCCCAGGATCCCGGGACCCGGGCAGGAACCGCGAGGACCCACGGAGGCCGAGGGACCACCTCCTCCTCCTCCCTCTGTGGTGGGGCCTTCTCAGGCGCGTCCTCCCCCTTCCTCCTTCCTCGGATGCGGGGTCGGTCGTGGGTAGAGCGGGTTCGGAGCGTACCCGTCTTCCCTCCATCGCGGAGGACCCAGGCAGCGAGCCGGGACCTTCCCCAGAGGGAGCCTCACCGCAGGCGTCTCGGCAAGTCACCCCAGTCCCGGAGTCAGGCGACGGAGGCCTTAATCAGCCAGGTGAGAACGGGCCATTGAGCCCGTCCGAACACCATTCCCCCGCTCCCGCTCCCTCCTCTGCTCCTCTCCCTTCTCCTCCGCCTGCCCCGGTTCTCTCTCCCCTTGTCCCTCCGGAGGGTAGCGTGCCGAGGAGGGGCAGGCTGCAGCAGCCCTCAGATGTTCCAGGCTGTATCCTGAGGGCCAGGCGTGAGGAGATTGCGGGACGGGGCCGAGCAGCATCGACCCCTCCCGAGATTAAGAGAGCTCGGACGGAGGAGCCTGTCGAGAGCGGGGGGAATCAGGGTCGGTCGTCTCCGTCGTCCTCCCCTCCTCTTCCTCCGCCCCCCTCCGAGGCCGACCCGCCTCCTCCTCCGCCCGGTCTGGTGCAGAGGGACCGGACCATCTCTGCTGGGCACGAGGACAGGACCTCGGTGTCGGAGATGGTGCGACGCATCGAGGCGGGGGTGACGGCGCGGACCAGGTCCCGCTCACCTCGGGAGTTCGAGGTCACCGAGGATTTTCTCGTTGTCCCTCTCCCCCCCTCCTCCGGTGGGTCAGGTGATGGCGATGCGGATGATGGTGGTGTCCGGGCCTGGCCTCTCAGCGAGTGGTGTGGTGTTGTAGGTTCCCAGGACTGGGCCATGGCGGCCAGCCGAGGAGGCGAGGTCAGCCTCAAGAGCTTGAGTCCGGCCGAGAGGTCCAAGTTCAGCCTTGCTGACGCTAAGGAGTGGAGTGCGATGAAGGGGACCGGAGCCGTCGACATCATCCCTCCCGCTCGCGCGGACGTTGTGAGGAGGTCTCAGCCGGACAGGATCATCACGAGTAGGATGGTGCGTCGGTGGAAGCCAGTGGAAGGCACGGGAGCCGAGCCGGAAGCTAAATCAAGATGGTGTGTCCACGGACACAGAGACCCCGACTCAGGCTCCCTGCAAGTGTACGCCCCCACGCCCCAGACCTCGAGCATCATGATGTTCACCCAGGTGTTGATGAATTTCGGCCTCCTGGCTGACATCGCGGACGTGAAAAATGCTTTCTGCCAGAGCGACCCGATGTCCAGGACCCAGGGCCACGTGTACGTCGAGCCGTGCGAAGGCATCGATCTTCCCCGAGGCTCCCTGATCCTGCTAAAGGTCAATGTCTATGGCCTGGACGATGCACCAGTTGCGTGGAGGCGGACGGTGATCAATTTCCTGTCACAGCATGGCTTCACCAAGAGCCTACTGGAGCCGTGCTGGTGGATCCGATACGGGCCGAAAGGGGAAATCCTAAATATGATGCTTCTTGAGGTGGATGACTTCTTCATAGGCAGCAGTTCCCCGGCTACCAGGTCCTGGATTAGGAGTCTGCTCGAGTCACGCTTTAGATTCGGCAAGTACCGAGACTGTCACGCCGGAGCCGTGGATTTTGCTGGAAGACGAGTAGTGATCAGTGCCCAGAAGGCCACTCTAGATCAGGAGAAATATATCTTGGAGGAGATCAAACCACTGACGATGGCTAGAGGCCGGCTCTCCACCAAGAACAGTCCCCTTGATCAGTCTGAGTTTCGGGCGCTCAGGTCACTTGTCTTTAAGTTCAACTGGGTCGGCCGGGAATGCCGGCCCGAGGCCGCCGGAGTAGCCAGTATCCTTGCGAGTCGTCTGAAAGCTCCCACTACTGGTGACGTAGCCCTTGCCAACAAGATGGTGCGTCACCTTCGGTCGACAGCATCACGGGGACTTACGGTGTGGAGGCTCGATCCCGAGCGTATGGCGTTTATATCGTTTTCGGATGCTGGCGGGGTGGGAGCGTTCGACGACCTACTCGACGACAAAGGGCTGCCTGAGGACCCCACCCAGGGCGCCTGGATGGTCCTGGCGGCCGACAAGAGCATCCTTGAGAACAAGTCCGTGCGTGCATCGCTCTTGGGCTGGCGCAGCTGCAAGCTCCGGCGCAAGGTGCCGTCCACCTTGGCCGGAGAGACACAAGCACTGTCCATGGCCGTGGCCGAAGTCGAGTATCTCCAGATCCTCTACCGGGACGTCGTGTTCCAGGACGTAGACATCCAGGACCATCATAGAGGCTCCGGGCCATTCACTACGGTCCTCAGGAGCGACTGCCGACTGGGCTCCAGAGAGCACCAGGTGCACGTGGTGGACGCCAAGTCCATCTACGACACCATGCTCAAAGAGGGCAATGCTTCAGCTCGTGACCGTCGCACCGCAATCGATCTGGCGATCGTCTGCGAGGCCCTCGAGAGGGCCCAGGGCAAGGTCCGCTGGATCCCGCACGGACGCATGCCGGTAGATTCCCTGACGAAGGACGACATCACTAAAGGGAACGCCGCCCTGTTCGATCTGATGACCAGCGGCCGGCTGGTGCTGATCGACGAGGGGTCAGAGGTTGAACGCCGCCGCACTCAACCCGAGCTGAAGAGCCGCACCCAAGCGGCCTCACGAAAGGTCTTGGACGAGACAGCGTGGGTTTCTTGGAAGGAGCTCCAGGACCAGACCCAGGCCGGTGGTGATGGTGGTGGTGGTGGTTCCTCCCTTCTTCCCTCCTCCTCTCCATCCTACACTGCCAATTTCTATGCCTTTCAATAGTCTCATTCTCTGTGCCTATCTTTGTGCTTATCCTTCTGCTCCCCAGGGTTTTCCGCCACTCTCACAGCGAGAGGGCCGGTGACAGGCCACAGGGGCCTAGAGTCACCAGGGGAAGCTAAACCTGCTAGAAAGTCCGACCAGTGTAGCTGGTCTCCAGATTTTCCCCGTCAGGTTTAGCATATGGTTAGCTTGTCATATTTCACCCGTTGTGACACGTTTGGCTCAAGGGAAAAGCATCTACTGCCCCTGCTGCTGCCACAGTATGGCTAACTGGCTGGCATGCGAACAAAGAACCTGCATAAAAAAACACGATTGCTCGGAAGTCCGCGCCAGATTTCTTGGCTCCGTGCCCAAGTCGGGTCTGCCCATTCTCCGACCGTGTGGTGCGCCGAACGCAACGGCCGCGCTGTCTACCGACAGGCGCGTCCACCCCGACCGCGCCTATGTACGCAACGACTCCCACTGTTTCCATAGACGCTTGTGGCTAGATCTAGAGGAACGAAAAAGACATAAACATAATTTCTCGAAAATCTGCGCGGATTTCGTGGATCGGCGCTGGACCTACCCTCCCTGGCGCGCGCAGCGCGCCAGGGGCAGCGCCAGAGGCGCCGCCAGGGGGGCCCAACGCCGATCCAAGAAATTCGCGCGGAGTTCCGCGAATTGGCGTCGAGCCCAGGGAGGGAGCGAGAGAGAGCAGGCCTTCTCAGAGGGGGGCGGGACTTGTCAGAGTCCTCGCGCCTTCGGGCAAATACTCTGCGTCTTCGGAGAAGTCCCAGGAAACTTCGCGGAAGGCGCAAGAAGAGATTCTGAGAAGACCTGCCGCCTTCTGAGAAGGCCTGCCCCCCCAGCTCACTTGCCCCAGGTGCGCCGCTGGTCAGAGAGAGATCATGCTTGTGCCGTTGTCTTGCGGAGCGCGGAGCGCGCCAGGGGCGGCGCCGGAGGCGCTGCCCGGGGGCCCGACGCTGGTCCAAGAAATTCGGGCGGAGCTCCGAGAAATCGGATTCATGCGGTACGCCCGAAATGGGTACGGAAAACATAGGTACGATGCCTAACAGCAATAACGTTTGTCCAAAAACAGAGAGCGGCCGGCTGTTAGGCGGTCGACCGTGCGTCCCAAGCGGACCGCATCCGCGACGACGCCGACAACGAGTCCTCGTCAAAATCAGCAAGAACTGCTCAATCTTCGCTACCATTCCTTCCGTACCCATTTCGATCGCGCCGATGTCTGCGGCTTTCGGCAGCGCGCACAAATCGGTGGATGGAGGGGGGAAGGCTTCTTAGGAGGAGGACCCGGTAGGTTCGCGCGGCGTCGGCGCGCGCAAAGGTTTCTTGACATCGCGTCGATCGTCCAATCTTGAATCGATCGCGGCCCCGGTCGTTCTTCAAGGTTGAAGTCCGTCGGGCCTAGTAGTGTTACCGTATTATGTATGTGCTTCCGCGTCGCAGAATTCAATCTTGAACGCCTTCGCCAGCGCCACCGGCGCGCCAAGGCCGCACGAACCTGCTGCAGAGAAGGCCCGCAGCTTCTGGGAAGCAGGGGTGCTCCTGAGAAGTGCTGTACCCCCGATCCCCCCCCTGCGCATGGCTGACGTCTTTTGCCCTTCGGTCGCCGGCGTCACGGGCCAAGCGCGCCTCGCGAGCGTCCCAGCGCTGCTGCAGCTCGCAGGCCAGCGGGGCGCACAGGCCGAGCAGGCCGAGCGCGAGGAGCAGGGCGGAGCCTCTGCGCGGGTGGGGAGGGGCCCCCTGGGAGCAGCTGCCATGTAGGCGGCGATGACAGTGGGACGGGAGGGAGGTCATGACCCAAGGAAGCCCCCAGCAGGCCCCCACGAGCCCCAAGAAGGCCACAAAGGAAGCACCAAGAGGCCCCCGAATAGCTGCCCAAAATCCTGGAATCCTCAAAGCTGCCTCTGGGAGGCCCCCGAGAGGCCTCGATGAGATCCCAACGACCATCCAAGAGGCCTCAGATACACAACCCAGGCACGGTGGCGGGATGGGCCGAAGGCAATTAGACCTGCTTGGCACGGGGACGGAAAGCGCATTTACTTTCAGAGTGCGGGATGTCGCTGGCTTGCCCGTGCTTTCTCTCTGTCTCCCCGTCTGGAGGCTCTCTTGGGGCATCTTGGTGGCATATTGGGCACCCTCTAGGGCTATCTCGAAGCTGCAGGAGGCCTCTTGAGGGGGAACCAGGGCGTGTTGGTATCTTGGGAAGGCACTAAGAGCGCGATAAAACACGAATGAAGATTAGGATAATACTGTTGATGATGATGACGACGACATACTGTCTCTTGGGAGCATCTTGATCGTCTCCCAGGCCCTCCTTGGGCCGTCTTGTGGCTCTCTTAGGCCCTCTTGGGGCCCTTCTGGGCCGTCCTCAGGCTCTCTTGGGAGCCTCTCGGGCCGTCATGACACATTTTCGTGGGGCTCTGGAGCTGTATCGGGCCGTTCTTGCCCGAAAAGGCGAGGAGCTGGAAAATCTTCATAAACCTAAAGAAGGGCAACAATGGTGTTTTCGTCCTTCAGCACTTCTGGGGGTTCTCTCGGGTGCCGCTTGGGGTGTCTTGGAGGCCTCTTGGGCTGTGCTGAGGCCATCTTGGGCTATCTTGGATCGCTCTTAGGCCGTCTTCGGTCCCGTCTGGGTCTCTCTCGCGCCGTCTTGGAGGTGCCTTAAGCTGGCGAGGAGCTTATGCAGGTAGGGCGGGGCCAAGGGCGCCCCCCGGGCGGCGAAAATTCTACTTTTTTTTTCCCGCTCGCCCATCGGTGCTCGGGGGGGGGGGCTCTTGAAGACCTCTTGAGCCGTGAGGCCGTCGTGGGCTATCTGGATCGCTCTTGGGCCGTCCACGGGCCCGTCTGGGCCTGTCTATGCCGTCTTGGAGGCCGTTGAAGCAGTCTGCATACGTGCAGATGGTCGAACACGTCTTGGGGCCGTCTTGTGGGATATTGGGCCATCATGGGGCGATCTTACGGGCCTCTGGCCTCTTGGGTCGTATTGGAGACATCTTAAACCGTCTTGGAGGACGCTTGGTCTCTCATGGGCTGTCTTGAAGGTACCTCAAGTTGACGAGGACTTTATACGCTTACGCGAAGACTACGCGGAGCTTACGTTGCCGCCCGTTCCTGGCCCTGGTGTCAAGAACTGATTACGTCACCGCTCTCCGTTGGGAGCCTTGGTCTTATCAGCTTGTTTACGTCACTGCTTGCTCTTGGGAGCCGCCGTGTTCAGGGTCAGTTCACGGTCCGTTAACAGGGAACTCTTTTCCCTGTTAACTGTCCGTTAACAAGGAAAGAACGCGTCAGTCACCCGATGTCCCCTGTTAAGTCCCTGTTAAGGGCCCCGTTACCAGGGAAATTACCCTGTGACGTACCCAACCCATTTGTATCAATGGAAACTAGGAGTTGGCCGCAACTTGTATAGACAATCAACTTGATGTGTAAGCTACTTGGGAGGCGTCACTGTGCTGGGCCCCGCAAGCAGGCCTCGAAAGTGGCGACAGTTTCACAGATCGCAGCCCCCCAGGGATGGCGAGGTCCCATTTGAGTCTGCGGTGAGTGCCCACTGTGCTGGGCCCCTCAGCAGGCCTCGAAAGTGGCGACAGTTTCACAGATCGCAGCCCCCCAGGGATGGCGAGGTCTAATTTGAATCTGCGTGTGGGTACCCACTGTGCTGGGCCCCTCAGCAGCCCTCGAAAGTGGCAACAGTTTCACAGAACGCAGCCCCCCAGGGATGGCGAGGTGCAATTTGAGTCTGCGGTGAGTACCCACTGTGCTGGGCCCCCCAGCATGCCTCGAAAGTGGCGACAGTTTCACAGATTGCAGCCCCCCAGGGATGGCGATGTCCAATTTGAGTCCGCGGTGAGTACCCACTGTGCTATGCCCCTCAGCAGCCCTCGAAAGTGGCGACAGTTTCACAGATCGCAGCCCCCCCAGGGATGGCGAGGTCCCATTTGAGTCTGCGGTGAGTGCCCACTGTGCTGGGCCCCTCAGCAGGCCTCGAAAGTGGCGACAGTTTCACAGATCGCAGCCCCCCAGGGATGGCGAGGTCAGTACCCACTGTGCTTCAGGCTCAATGGCGGTGCCCCCCAGCAGGCCTCAGGCGACAGCAGATCGCAGCCCCCCAGGGATGGCGAGGTCTCATTTGAGTCTGCGGTGAGTACCCACTGTGCTGGGCCCCCCAGCAGGCCTCGAAAGTGGCGACAGTTTCACAGATCGCAGCCCCCCAGGGATGGCGAGGTCCATTTGAGTCTGCGTGGGCCACTGTGCTGGGCCCCCCAGCAGGCCTCGAAAGTGGCGACAGTTTCACAGATCGCAGCCCCCCAGGGATGGCGAGGTCTAATTTGAGTCTGCGGTGGCGTACCCACTGTGCTGGGCCCCCCAGCAGGCCTCGAAAGTGGCGACAGTTTCACAGATCGCAGCCCCCCAGGGATGGCGAGGTCCCATTTGAGTCTGCGGTGAGTGCCCACTGTGCTGGGCCCCTCAGCAGGCCTCGAAAGTGGCGACAGTTTCACAGATCGCAGCCCCCCAGGGATGGCGAGGTCCATTTGAGTCTGCGGTGAGTACCCACTGTGCTGGGCCCCCCAGCAGGCCTCGAAAGTGGCGACAGTTTCACAGATCGCAGCCCCCCAGGGATGGCGAGGTCACATTTGAGTCTGCGGTGAGTACCCACTGTGCTGGGCCCCCCAGCAGGCCTCGAAAGTGGCGACAGTTTCACAGATCGCAGCCCCCCAGCTGGCACGCAGCGACGAGCGAGGCAAAAGGCAAGGGGGAAGAGAGGGGCGGGAAGGAAGGAAGGAGACGCGCGAGCAGTGCTCTATTCAAAACGAGAACCCAACGCAGGAGGGTTGGGAAAACGTGCCCGAGCGTGCAGCCATGTTTTTCCTTGTTGAGCACCCGATTTCCCATGTTAATGGCGCCGTTAACAAGGAAAAATAATGGGTTAAGCACCCGATTTCCCCTGTTAAGAGCTCCAGCAGGGTTCCGTTAACACGGAAAAATACTATTAGATCCTAGCGCCCGGGGGGCCACCCCTCACACTCCCCCTGATTAATTCCTTCCGACTAACGGATCGCACGCTACGCGCGCTTTCCGTCATCCGCCGCCCCCTGTCGATTCATCGCAGAGGTGCCTGGCGTGTTGGACCCTTTCGATTTTAGTATTGGCCCTTTTTCCAAAAGAGCTCCCCCCTGGGGCTTCGGCCCGTCCCGCCGGCCACCCGGAAAGCTCCTCAAGGAACACAAGTCTCCAATGTTTCGCTCAACATGGCACAAGATGGCCTCCAAGATGCGTCCAAGACGGCCAAGATGGCCCCCAAGACGGCCAACATGACCCCAAAATGTCTCCCAGACGGCCCAAGACGGCCTAAGATAGCCTCACGATGGCCCAAGAGCCCCCTAATGGGTCTCCAAGAGAGCCCAAGAGGCCTCCAAGAGGTCCTCCGGGAAGGCCCGAAGAAAAACATTGATTGTCCTTAGGTTTTTGAAGGATTTTGGCATTTTCGCCTGTTCGGCCTTCCGATTGCCCAAGAGGCCCCCAAGATCGCCCCAAGATCGCCCAAGAGGTTTCCAAGATGGCCCCATGAGGGCCCAAGAGGCCCCCAAGATGCCCCCAAGAGGGCCCTAAGGCGGCCCAAGAGGCCTCCAAGACGCCCAAGATGCCTCCAAGACGGCTACGATGGCCCCAAGATGCCTCCAACACGGCCCAAGATGCACCCAAAACGGCCTAAGACGGCCTCAAGATGGCCCAAGACGGCCCGGCCCAAGAGCCCCCTAAGAGGTCTCCAAGACAGCACAAGAGGCCTCCAAGAGGTCCTCCAGGAGGGCCCGAAGAGGCCAAACTCATTGATTTGTCCTGCGGTTTTTGAAGGATTTTGGCATTTTCGCCTTTTCGGCCTCCGGCGGCTCAAGACGGCCCAAGAGGCCCCCAAGATCGCCCACGAGGCCTCCAAGATGGCCCCATGACGGCCCAAGATGCCCCCAAGACGGCCCCAAGAGAGTCTAAGAGGCCTCCAAGACGGCCAAAATGGCCTCCAAGATGGTTAAGATGGCCCCAAGATGCCTCCAAGACGGCCTAAGGTGCACCTAAGACGGCCTAAGATGGCCTCATAGTGGCCCAAGACGGCCCAAGAAGCCCCCAAGCGGCCTCTAAGACGGCCCAAAAGGCGTCCAGGAGATCTTCCAGGAGGGTACGAAGATGCCAAAATCATTGATTAGTCCTGCGGATTTTGAAGGATGTTGGCGTTTGCTTCTTCTCGGCATTCCGACAGCTCAAGACGGCGCAAGAGGCCCCCAAGATCGCCCAAGAGTCCAAGATGGCCCCATGACGGCCCAAGAGGCCCCCAAGACGGCCTCAAGAGGGCCCCAAAACTGTCCAAGAAGCCTCCAAGACGCCCAAGATGGCCTCTAAGAACCCCTGCTATGCCCCAAGACGACTTCAGACGGCGTCAGACAAGCCAGGAACGCCTTAAGACGGCCAGAAGAAGCCAATAAGCCCCCAAAGGCCCCCCCGAACCCTCGAGGCCCCCAGGAAGGTCCCAGGAGGCCCCAACAGTGCCCCACGAGGCGCCCAAGAGGCCTCCTCCTCCTCCTCCTCCTCCTCCTCTTCCTCCTACTCCCCCTCCTCCTCCTCCTCCTCCTCCTCCTCCTCCTCCTCCTCCTCTTTGTTCCTCATCCTCCCCCTCCTCCTTTTCTTGCTCCCCCATGCGTTCCCCGAAGTCTTTCCAAACCGACTCGGGGAACAACTGGCCCGATAGCTTGGCCAAGCTCTGGCCCAGCTGTCGGCCACAGAGGCGCTTCCAAAGGGGCAGGGGGCGGCGGTGATTCGCTGTAGGCGTCTTCGATCCGCCGCCTCTGTTGGCTTGCCACAGGGGGCCCAGCGTGCTAGACCCTTTCGGTTTTGGTTTTGGTTCTTTTTCCAAAGAAATCCCCCTGGGGCTTCGGCCCGTCCCGCCGGCCACCCGAAGGGGATCCCAACCCCCACGACAATCCTCCAAGACGGCTCAACATGGCCTCCAAGATGGCCACGTTGGCCCAAGATGGCCTCCAAGATGGTCCAAAGTGACCTCCAAGTCCGCCCAAGATTGTCCAACACGGCCTCCAAGACGGCCAAAGAGAGTCCAAGATACCTCCAAGTTCGCCCAAGAAACCTCTAAGACGGCCCAACACGACCCAAACGGCCTCCAAGTTGTCACCCAGGAGGACCCGAAGAGGCCAAAATCGTTGATTTTCTTTCGGTTTTGAAAGATTTTGGCATTTCTTCTCGGCATTCCGACGGCTGAAGACGGCCAAAGAGGCCCCCAAGATCGCCCAGAAGGCCTCCAAGATGGCCCCATGACGCCCCAAGAGGCCCCCAAGACGGCCCCAAGGGGGCCCAAGAGGCCTCCGAGACGTCCTCCAGGAGGACCCGAAGAGGCCAACATCATTGATTTCCAATAGGTTCATGAAGGATTGTGGAATTTGGTTCTTCTCGGCATTTAGACGGCTGAGGACGGCCCAAGAGGCCCCCCAAATCGCCCAAAGATCGCCCACGAGGCCTTCAAGATGGCCCCATGACGGCCCAAGAGACCCCAATGACGGCCCCAAAAGGCCCCCAAGAGGCCTCCAAGACGGCCAAGGTGGCCTCCAAGACGGCTGAGGTGGCCCCAAGATGCCTCCAAGACGGCCCAACGTGCATCGAAGACTGCTTAAAACGGCCCAAGAGGCCCCCAAGAGGCGCCCAAGACGGCCCAAGAGGCCTCCAAGAAATCGTCCAGGAGGGCACGAAGAGACCACAATCATAGTTTTTTTCCTTCAGGTTTTGAAAGATGTTGGCATCTGCTTCTTCTCGACATCGACGGAGAGACCATACAGGACCTCAAGGTCCACGAACGACCCCTCCAAGACGGACATGTTTAGTCTGTCACACAGCGGTGGATGCGTCTCGAGTCCCACAGGCAGCGTCTACGCGCAGCCGCTGCCAGTCGTCCCACGGTGAGACCACTCTTGACCGATGCATGATTTGTTGTATAAGCAAAGGTGGGGGGAGGGCCAGTTGATCTCTGGAGCCAAAAGCTATGTCAGGAGACATAGGGGGCGACAGGACGTGATCAACAAACATTTTTGCGCACGCACTCCCATGCTTAGTCTCTCACACAACGGTGGATGCGTCTCGAGTCTCACAGGCAACGTCTACGCGCAGCCGCTGCCAGCCGTTCAGAACCATCCCAAACCAGACGTTCAAGGGATGAGAAAGCGAGGGAACTAGGGCACGGAAGCGAGGAAGAGACCCAAGATCCGAGCGGAAGCACTCAGCACCCCCAAAGCTTTGATCTGGTGGGGGCTAGAAGGGCAAAAGCCACGTCGTGGGCCAATGTGCGAGGACATTCGGCGGCTATAGCAGTCCAGTGAATTCCCGTTTCGGACTTTCTTGAAAGGTGCCAATGCGCTTTCCCCGTGCTGGAGCGCAGCCCTCTTCGGGCCCAACACTGCTTACCTAGCCTACTACAATCATCAGCGCACACGTTACCTGCGAAAAACTTCGTCCTCTCCCTCCACCGCGCGCCATACTGGCACTGGTCACGCACTATCTCGAAACACCACTTTAAACCGAGCAACTCGCGAAGGGCAGGGGATTAAAAAGCGTGCGAGCTACCTGGGTTCTCGAGGATCCAAGGTACTCCGCGGGCTACGCACGTCCGAACGAGCTGCACAATATCTTTGCGAAGGGCGTTCCCGTGATCGACACGGGCGTGCTAATGAGAGGGCAACCCTGGGGGCCCCATTGGATGGAGCTCCGACCTGGGACGGCCTGCCTGGGCCATCGAAAAAGATGCACATGGCCGCGCGACCATCCCTCGGGCGATCCCCCCGGAACGGGCGTCTGAAAGCAATCTCACCAGCGAGAGCCGGTGCAAGATATCAAAACCTTCCTATATCTCGAGCTCTTTACAAGCATAACCTTGTCGGCGGACGGCCCTTGCCACTCCGCCTGTTCCTGAGAAAACATAATGTACCACTGGCCTCGCGAGTCATCTAGCTGCAGAGCGTTGCGACCCTGCCCCGTGGGGTAGCATCCTCTAGCTGTCGTTCGCACTCCTGCAGACACTGAAGGAGGCTCGAGGCAAACCGCAGCTCGATGTGACGGAGCCGCGCATGCTTTGTGCAACTTCTTGCGGTAGAGCGACGCGCCCGAATGCCGAGTCTGGTAGGGCACCAACGTCGCTCCCAGCGCCGCGCCGTATTCGTCGGTCACTTTGAGGAACTCCCAGTAGCTGAACCCCCAGACCGCCCCCCGATACCTCTGACCGGCCAAGATATGCAGGGGGGGGCCAATGAGTTTGACCCAGGGGCTGTATAACATCTTCGAAGGCTCGAACTCGCCTATCTTGCCAGCCCCAAGACCTGCGGGCTGGCTTCGGCGCCGGGCGCCACTCGAGCCCCAGCGCCAAGGGGCTGCTCGGACGCAGGCATGTACTCACTGAGAGCAACGCGTACAGCGCCACGCACGCCCTAGGCAGAGCAGCTCGGGCCAGCGCGACCTCCTGGGGGCCAGTCGCCGCCAGCCCGTGAGAGCTCTCCAGGCCCTTGGGGCGCGGCGATCGCCGAGCCGCCCGGGCCGCGGCTCCGCGTGCATCCGCGCGGCCATCGGCGTGGCCCCACCATGGGCCTGCCCCCCCAAGAAGAAGTCTCGCTCGATCAGACGCCCCAGCGACTCGTCGACCTCCGCGTCGGTCAGGCCCCCGAGGTCGCCGATTCTGCCGCGGGCCCCCCACCGATCCAGCTCGGCCTGGCCCTGGTTGCGGGTCGGCTCCTGCGCGGCCCCCCGCTCGAGCAGGCTGCTTCCCGTGTTCAGCAGCTCGCAGGCCTCCGACGCGTAGCTCACCGCCCGCCGTCTGCGAATCCGGCGGAGCCCTCGCTCTCTGCTTGCGGCCGGCAGCTCGGCGCCCCGGACGTCGCCCCAGGGCTGCTGGAGCTGCTCCTCTGAGCAGCGGCCCGACCTGGCGCGGCGACGAGTTGGGCGCCGAAGGGGCCCAACTCCTGCTCCAGCAGCAATGTCTCCAGCGGCGGCCAGGCTGGCCTCCGGGTGGATTCCCAGCCCTGGGGGAACCAGCCCTTGACAGAAACCGCCCGCGCCCCGGCCGCGGCCCCCTCTTCCGCTTCGCGAGGCCCGCGACCCTCGCTGGCGCAGCGGCGGAGGGCTCCGCCTGCGTCCGACGTCTCATCGGCGGCCCGAGGCCGCCCCGCGCCCAGCCATGAGCCGCCCCCACTGTCTGCAGCGCGGATGGGCCCCCCTGAATCTCGATCGATGCCAGAAAGGGCAGACTCCCCGCTAGTTTGAGCCAAGACGGCCACGAGACTCGGCGGTGGCGGACGGCCAGGCAGCAACGAGGACGAGGGGGGGGCAGTGGCCCCGTCCGTAACAGACCTCCCGGCGCAGGTCTGCGCCCCATCAGCCTTGAAATCGCCCCCCCCCCCCCCCCCCCCATCGAGACGCGCGCGCAACCCCCCTTCGAAGGGTCGAAAATTCGAGAAGGGCCGTCGGCGCTGTTGAGCTCTGACAGCATCCACCGCACCACCGCGTGCATGTCCTCTGCGAGGCAGTAGCTACAGAAACGACGCACTTGATTCAGCCCATGGCAGTCTCTCGCACGATATCTATCGAATGCCAGACAGACCGCCACGGTATCAACCAACAGCAACTGACGAAGGTTCCGCCCAAAAGTGAGAAGGACACCCCCACGAAGATTCATCGCGAGGGCGCGGGCTTCGAGGTGCACAGCCCCATGTTTCCATCGCCAGGGCACCAAAAAAGTCGGGCTCCACAACTGCGGGCCCATGCCGACCCGAGGCGCCTCCAAAAACTCGGGGTCGAGGCCCCGCGCGCCAGGGGGCAGCGCCGCCCCTGCGCCTAAAGATCCCCCAGCTCCTAAGACACTCTCAGCACGCCTCATAAAGGGCCTCAGAGGCCCCTCCGACGTGATCACACCCCAAGGCCGAAGCTCGGGCGAACACCGCTCCGAGCGCCAAAACCTGCCCCGCTCGCGACGCCGCCCCGTCTCCCGCGCAAGATCAAGGGGCCACCACGCCTCAGCCCCGCCGAAGCCGCATTCCGAGGCGTCGGATGCAACGGCGAGCTGATTCCAAGGTCGAGACCAGTCACTGCACAATACCACATTCAAACCTGAGAATACACGAAGCACCTCAAACACACTGGGCCACAGAGGTTGCGCGTGGAGATATATATTTTCTGAACTAAAGCATAGCAGGCGTGAAAACAGGCAAGCGCAGGCCGCCGCGACATTGCCATGAAAGCGAAATGTCCCAGCAACACCATCAGCGCGCTGCCTGTGCAGCGCCCGCGTTGGAGAAGCCCAGCAATCGCCTGCCGGGCCCGCAGCCGCCTCTTGCCCGACGCACGGGTCTGCATCAGCTGCCCGTCGACCTCCGCGCCCAGCACCTCCGTGACCCCAAAGGTGACGGCCTGCTCGTGAACCAGAAGCCCCATCTGGGTGAAGGCGTCAGTCGCACCCTCGAGCGTCTTCTCTACCCTGGCCCCGCCTGTTCCCAGCGCGCCCATGTTGTCGACGTGAATGCAATGCCGAAGGGGGCCCTGCTGCTCGCAGCCCAGCACCAGCAGCCGCCCGCGGTCCCGCAGCAGGGTGTCCACGCCAAGGGGCTTGCCGCTTCCTGCAAGCTCCTCTCCTGACACCTGGCAATAGAACAGACCCCGCGAGAAGCCCATCGGGAAGGCCACTGGGCAGGGCCACGCCTGCTCGTTGCCCGTCAGCAGCTGCCCCTCCACCATGTTGCCAGCCAGCGAGCCACAGGGCTCCGCCCCGCGCTGGAGGGAAGCAGAAATAGCGCCACAAGAACAAGGGCATCCGCAAGCGATGGACAGCGTCCCTCACACCCGCTATCCCCCACCATGATGGACAAGCTCTCGCGCAGCCCGCCCGCCAGCTCGCTCTCAGGACTCTCGCAGGCGTCCAGATCGAGCTCGATGCCGCTCAAGCCCTCCGCGGTGATCAGGTCAACGCTAGATGGCCGCCTGAGGTGCTGGTTGGAGCGCCGAGCATCCAGAATAAATCGATGGCGCTCACGGCCCTTCTTCTGCGCGCAGAAGATGCCCACCTTCTCGAGCGGCTCCGGCATGAAGTCGAGAAGGCCACGCGCCATCAGGCCCTTCAAAAAAGCAGCGTACACGGTCTTGCGGTTCACCAGCGCGGGATCGCAGTAGCACTGAGTGCCGTCGCCCGCGAGGTCGGCCTCGGCCTCGCCGACGGGCTTAAGCATGCGCTCGCCTTCCCGATCCAAGAAGTAATGGCCCCGTCTGCCGCAAACGTCGCCGATGTATGGGGGGGGCCCCACCGTCTCGGCAAGCGACAGCCGGCCTTGCTGAAAGGGCACCAGCGAGTCGTTGGCCGCCCCGGCGCCATCCAGGGATCGGCCGCGCAGCAACTCCCGTAGGGCCACTTGCGCTGACGGGGCGTCGAGACCGCGGCACGCGCGCTGCTCGCCCTGGGCCAGCCCATGCACGTACTGCGTAACGTCCTGCTGCATATCGTCACATTCCAGCTGGGCCTCATGCCCGAGCTCGAAACCATGCATCCAATTACGCGCCCGCTGGGCGTTATCAACCAGCTCGCTCTCTCGTCGGCGGAGCCGCCACCTCGCCAGCCGCCTGCCGCCGCGCCGATCGGGTCGCAGAGGAGCCGCCTCCAGCGGCAATGGGAACGCGTCTCTGCTTCCCGAAGATGGCGCGGCGCGACCTGCTCCCACTCGAGGGCGGCCCAGGCTGGGAGCACGCGCCCGGGCCTCCCGGCCCATCATGGCCCCATGGCGGAGCCGCGGCCGCGACCGCGGCCACCACCGCGTCCCGCGCCACCCTCCGCCTTCTCGGTCTCGTCGCCGTTCCCGTCGTCCTCCTCACTGGCCCCCACTCGGATGCTCCGAGTGGGGGATGTGCTCAGCTCGTTCTCGTCCTTCGCCTCCTTGGTGCCCCCCGACCGCAGTGCGAAAGACCCGCTGTCCAGAGCGCCGCGCCTGACCCGGATGCACATCACGAAGAGCCCGCCATCGTACCGCTTCATCATCGTCGGCTCGCTCGCGCCGCCGTCCACGGCCTTGATCGACTCGACCTCGAAGCCTACCACATCGGGTCCCCCGCAACCGTACACGATCCAACAACAGTCGGCGGCCGCCCGCCTCAATGGGCGTGCGCCCGCTCCCGTAGCGCTTCCGGCGGGCTCCAGCGGCACCAGGGCGGCGTCCATGTCCTTGAGCGCGCTCCTAGATGGCGCCTTCACTGATCTCGTGCCGTTCACGAAGTCTGATGACGGCGGTTGCGGGGTACCCGTATGCACTTGCACGCGGGAGTGCTCGACTGTCTTCCTCACCGATTGCTCGTCCGTGGGGTACTCAGGGCACCTGTCGAACTTGCCTCGCAGCAGGCGGAGAGATGAAGCGTCCCACCCGAGCAGGCTGCGCCGACGCGGCCCTGGCGGGATGCCATCCACCGCCGTCTCGTACTCATCGCCGTCGGGTGTCGTCTCGCACCAATTCCAGCCCGGCAGTCTCCTCAGCTCCTCGGCGCTCGACCCGAACAGCCGCAGCTCGTGCTGGAGCGGGCTCCCCTCGTACTTCGCGGCCACCGGCCAAACAGGCCTGAGCCTAAGCAATGTGGCCTCGCCTGTGCCTACGCCGTCCGTCTCCGTCATCGGGCGAGCGTTCCTCCGAAGCAACGCCATCGACACCGCGCCTCTGCCACCAGCCGCGAAGCTGCAGCGGCACAGACACACCGCCCAGCACCCAGTCCAGCCACTGGCTCCCTGGGGCCTCGCACTCCGGGCACTCGCACACACACACGCACACACACACACACACACACACACACACACACACACACACACACAAACACACACACACACACACACACACTCCGCTGGCACGGCCCGCGAGCCATCCTCCTGCGGCCCGGGCTCGCTGGAGCACCCGCCGCGGAGGGGGCCGCGCCCCGTCACCTCTCAAGGCCTCGAGCTCGCTGACCGTATCCACCACGAACTCGCGCACACTCGGACCCTCTGGCGCAGGTCGCGCGGGCCGCTCGGGCTCGGGTCCCAGCCGCCGCACCTCCGGCAGGCTCGCCAGCAGCACAAGCACAGCTCACTGCCAGTGGGCTACGCTCGTGCTGAGCATCCGGCGGCCGGCCCCAAAGCTCCCCTGTTGATCTTTGGAGCCAAAGGCTGTGTCAGGAGACAAAGGGAGCGACAGGACGTGATCAACAAACATTTCTGCGCACGCACTCCCAAGATGGCCTCCAACACGGTCCCAAGACGCCTCCAAGACGGCCAACGTGGCCGAAGATGGCCTCCAAGATGCGTCCAAGATGATCAAGATGGCCCCAAGAAGCGCCAATATAGCCCAAAAATGGCTTCCTAGACAGTCCCAAGATGCCTCCAAGACCGCAAACACGGCCCAATAAAACCCTAGAGTAGCCCAAGAGGCTCCCAAGAGGCCTCCTCCTCCCTTCTCTTTCTTCAGCCCTCTCCTCTCCTTCCTCTTCGCCCACCGTGTTCCCCGAACGCTTTCCAAACCGATTCGGGGAGCACATGCTCCGATAGCTTGGCAGGCCTCTGGCCAGAACGTTCGGCCACATAGGCGTTTCCAAAAAGGCAGGGGACGGCGGTGATTCGCCGTAGGCGTCTTCGATCCGCCACCCCCTGTTGATTCATCACAGGGGTACCTGGCGTGCTGAACCCTTTCGATTTTGGTGTTGGTTCTTTTCCAAACGAACGCCCCCTTCGGCCTGTCCAGCCGGCCACCCGAAAAGATTGCCCAGGACCTCAATCCCTCAAAAAATCCTCCCAGACGGCTCAAGATGGCCTCCAAGGTGGCCACGTTGGCCCAAGATGGGCTCCAAGATGGTCCAAGATGGCCTCCAAGTCCGCCCAAGATGGTCCAAGACGGCCTCCAAGACGGTCCAAGAGAGTCCAAGATACCTCCAAGGTCGCCCGAGAAGCCTCCAAAACGGCCAAACACGACCCAAGAGGCCTCCAAGAGATCCTCCCCGAAGAGGCCAAAATCGTTGATTTTCCAAAGGGGTTTTGAAGGATTTGGGCATTCTTTTCTTCTCGGCATTCCGACGGCTCAAGACGGCCCAAGAGGCCCCCAAGATTGCCCCAAGATCGCCCACGAGGCCTCCAAGATGGCCCCATGACGGCCCAAGAGGCCCCCAAGACGGCCCCAAGAGGGCCCCAAGACGGGCCAAGAGGCCTCCAAGACGCCCAAGGGATCTCAACGACTGCAAAAATCATCCAAGACGGCCCCAGATGGCCTCTGAGATGGTCACGTTGGCCCGAGATGGCCTCCAAGATGGCCTCCAAGTCGCCAAAGATGGTCCAAGATGGCTTCCAAGACGACCCGAGAGAGTCCAAGATGCCTTCAAGTTCGTCCAAGAAGCCTCCAAGATGGCCCAAGATGGCTCCAGGATGGCCTAAGATTGGCCAAGAGGCCCCCAAGAGGCCTCCAAGGCGTCCTCCAGGAAGGCCCGAAAGTGCCAAAATCATAGATTTCCTTTAGATGTTTGAAGGATGTTGGGATTTTCTTCTTATCAGCTCTCCGACGGCCCAAGACGGCCGAAGAGGCCACCAACATCGTCCCAAGAGCGCCCAAGAGGCCTCCAAGATGGCGCCATGACAGCCCAAGAGGCCCCCAAGAGGGCCCCAAGAAGAGCCCAAGACGGCCCAAGATGGTCCCGAAGTCGCCGAAGATGGCCTTCAAGACGGCCAAGCTAGCCTCCAAGATGCCTCCAAGACGGCCAAGAGAACCTCCAAGACAGCGAAGGTGGCTCCAAGATGCACCCACGACGGCCCCAAATGGCGCCAAGATGGCCTTAGACTGCCTAAAAGGCCCGCAAGAGGCCTCCAGAACGGCCCAAGAGCCCTCCAAGACGTCCTCCAGGAAGGCTGGAAAGGGTCAAAATGGTCTCCAGATGGCCCCATTGAGCCCCAGAGTGCCTCAAGAGGCCCCCAAGAGGACTCTTCCTCCCTTCCAATTTCCTCACTCTCCTCCTTTTCCCCCTCCACGTGTTCCCCGACAGTTTTCCAAACCGATTCGGGGAACACTCGTTCCGAAAGATTGGCAAGGATCTGATCCCACCTTCGGCCAGCAGGCCCTAAGAAACCTCCAAAAGCGCACAAGAGCCCCCAAGGGGCCCCGAACACGCCCATTCCTCACTCTCCTCCTCTTCCCCGTCCTCCCCCACGTGTTCCCCCGAGGCTTTCCAAACCGATTCGGAGAACACATGGTCCGATGGCTTGGCAGGGCTCTGGCCTGAACGTTCGGCCACATAGGCGCTTCCGAAAGGGCAGGGGGCGGCGGTCACTCGCCGTAGGCGTCTTCGATAGGACGGGAGTGATGTCATGATCGGATTAGATATCTGTTTAGAGATTTCCAGGGTATCTGGCGGCCCTCGTGTCTGTCGCCCCTGTCTGGAAATCCTTGAGCGTGTCATTCTCATGACCTCTTGCCCATCCGAGAACGGAAACGCGTCCTACGCGAGATGACATAGTATAACAACCTTACGCGGTGGCTGACGCGGGCCACCAGCGCGGCGCGCTACACTGGAAGCAAGGGCGCGCACGCGCACGCGCGACCTTACGCGGACAGCTTACGCGCCGATGTCGGCGAAGACTTGAAGACGTAGACACGCCATAGACGGATCTGCTTGTGGCCGCGACGATTTGGCGGACGCACCGCAGCGCGTTCCCAGACCGGCTATCGCGCCGCGTTTTGCTCGTCTGGGGGGCTTCATGGGGGGCCCTCGCCGGGCCCAGGGACCGTCAACAAAACTGCTCGGGATGGACATCTGGCCGTCGGGACTTCTGGGGACCCCAGACATGATCGCGTCGTACAAAAAATAGGGGGCAATATTTTCGCTATGCTCGACCCCTGGGGTCCCTCGCCGGTCCCCGGGAGCGTCAAAAAACAACTCAGGATGAAAAACCGACCACGGGACAGGGTCGGGACTTCTGGGGACGGCGCGCTGAACAAAATCAGGGCGTCGCATGTCTGGGACCCCGACTTGACAAATCAAACCATCGGATGTCTGGGTTCGGGACGACAGGTCGGGGGGGCGTGGGGTCGCAACTCGGGCGCGGGAGGCCGCGAGAACCAAGACATCCGCTGTCCTGTGCTTCTTCCATGCGGCGTACCCGAAACTCCGACTCTTTCCACGAGGCCTGTTTCTCATCCCGAGCCCTCCTTTGACGGCCCAGCGAGGGCACCCGAAGGCTGAAAACTGCCAAACACCTTCCATTTCGCTTCTTCTCCACAACGCGAAAATCTCTGAGGAGGAGGCCGCGGGTGGGGTGGGGGGGGGGGCAGAGGCGGAGCGCTCGCTCGGACCCTCAAGAACTTAGGCAGAGCAGGCGACAGCAGGCCCAACGGGCCACGCCCATGCATGAGCAACGGCAACGAGATCCATACGTGGCAGACTCCAGAAACCCTGAATCCAACAATGCTGTCGCCTCCGGTGGGCCAGGCCTGGCGCAGTGGATGTGTATACATCTCGTCGCCTTCTGAACAGAAACTTTCCACAAACTGTCGGAGCTCCACGCGGATTTCTTGGATCGGCGCTGGGCACCCCTGGCGGCGCCTCCGGCGCCGCCCCTGGCGCGCTGCGCGCGTCAGGGAGGGAAAGTGAATCGTTGTGCTTGTGTGCGTGTGTGTGTGTGTGTGTGTGTGAGTGTGTGTGTGTGTGTGTGTGCAGTGATTTCGTCTTCGAGGGCGGCTCGCAATCCCCGACATCACGACGAAAACGCGTCGTCGGAAGAGAAGGGAGGCCGCCAAACAATGACGGACTCTGGGAGCCCCAAGTCCCAAAAATATTGACGTCTTGCGTACGTTTCCGCCACCTCCCGCTGCCCCTCCGCTGGAAGACCCGCCGTCATCGCTGGCTTGCGCCCGCCTTCCGCCAGCTTCGCCGAAGACGAGATGTCACGAGGCGAGGCCCTACCTGGAGCGCGCCAGATGAGGCCAGAGTAGATGGGGTCAGACTCTGCAGTCTAACTGAGGGCCATTCTCAAACCCTTTGCGGAAGAGCGTTTCGATCGTTGGGCAGGTCCACTTCTCTGTGGACGCAGTGGTTGATTCAATACCGCATGCGGTCTGAGTCCTTGTGGCATAGAATGTTCAGTTTGGGCCTGCATCGCCGATGCTTCGGCGATGCATCGGCGACGTCGGGATTGGGAACATCGAGCTCTGGATCGAGTGGCGTCGCCCTTGCAACGGGGATGCGGCGTGATCCTCCGCTCCCCATTGCTCTGGCCTCACCCGGAGATTCCTGGGCCCAGGCTTGGGGGACACGCCCCCATGGCCTGGCCGCTCGGTACGACAGGGTATCACCCGTGCTAGGCCAGCACGAGCCCGGCCAACTGGGGGGGCACAAAGGCGGGGTTAGGGGAAAGGTGGGGTTGGAGGGAAAATCGCTCTAAACGGACCCTGGAACAAGGAAATGCGTTAAACGGGAGCATCCAGCCAGCCCCGCTCCCCAGCCCCACCTTGGGATAACCCTCCCTCTACAAACCCCCCAGGCCAAGATCGGCGTTGGTGGGCATTCCGGGTTCCCAGAGAGCCGCAGTAGGAGGCGGTGGTCTTGAAGACCACGCAGGCGGCGCCGACTGCTGGCGGCGCGCCAAAGGGGAGAGGGGGGGGGCGCGAGGGGAGCGGCCTGCCAGGAGAGTCTTTCCTCTGAGAATCTGGGTAAGATGACAAAAGAATTAAGGTCTCGTGTTCACTTTGCTGAGTGGTAGAGGGTTCGGGACGAGACATCGATAAGACAAGTATCCGGTAAGCGAATGTACTCTATCAGGAATAGTAAGGGAGGAGGCCGGCTGGCCGACGACCGACGAAGTGCGACGGCCGAGGGCGGGCGCGCGCCTTTTATCTCCTGTACGCTCACGCGTAGCTTGAGTACAATACAGCTGCAGATAGTCACACAGTGCGCAGCAAAGCAAGTGATGTGAACATCAGCATGAATATGAGGCGGAGAGGAGCTTATTTGCTCCCCCCGCGGCGGGCCTCGTAGAGCCCATCCGGCCACAGCACCCCTGGCCTATACATGTACAACCACCGGAGCGAACCCCAAAAACTTTTACCGCTCAAGTGGCCACCAGGGGGCTAAGGGCCGAAGAGGCCCGACGACTCCCTCCATCATATAAATAAGTTCTCCCGCCGATTCGGCTTAGCCGATCGGCAGAGCTGCTTTACTCGTCCGACACGACTTCGTCGCGCGGCGAGAACTCGCTTGCATACGCCTGCAGCGACTAAGTCACGCGGGCCGGACTCAATCCAGGTCCTCGAGCGGGTTGTAGCCCCCCGTCGGTGGCGTCGGAGGCCTCGGGTTCGACGGCGCCGAGCCTCCAGTCTGTCCCCCGCCGCCACGAGGCGATCGGGACCTTCCTTTGCCACGGCCAGCGTAGTATGCTGTTTTGTAGTTCTTGTCCTTGTTATTGGACGCCTTCCCCTTCGGCGGGAAGCCAAAGTCATGTTCAAATAGAGACAGTGCGTGCCACGTCTGCAACCACCAGACATCGTCGGGCAGCCGTGAGATCCGATCCCGATGGACGTAGCACCCAACCTGCACATTGTTTGCGCAGTGCGGGTAGGAGACGAGCGGGTCGTAGCCGGCAGCGCCGCGGCCGACATCCATGGCTCCATCGCGCGCGCGCTGGGGCCTCGACCAATCCCATGTGTCAGAGTACCACGAATATTCTGCTCTTGCCGCCGCGGCTGCGCCGGCGGCAGAGCGTGGGGATTCGGTAACTTCGTCGCCAGCCCGAGCGTCTGAGACGTCGGGTCTGCGCGGCGGAGGTGGTAGCTGCGGCCTGGCTTTCGCCGCGTCCTGTTCTCATCGGCCCCGCGGAATCAGCGCGGCTGCCGCGGGGCTGAGTGGCATTTCTTCTCTCACGAACGTCCTGCTCTCGATCGCGAATGAATTCCAGCAAGTTCCTAGCAGCTGTGCGCACTGGAATGCCAAATTTTCCGCGCGCAGTACGGAACGGGCCTGCGTCCTTATCTTGGAGCTCCGTGTCGGCATCTATGTACTTGTTTTGAAGCCAAGAAATGGCCTCTTGTAATAATGAGCCCTGGCGACGGATGTCGGTTCGTACTTGTCTACCTAAATTACGGGCCCACTCTTCTATGAGGTCGTCCGTCTGAACCGCAGTGCGAATGCGACAGTCGAGGGCAGATTCATCCCTCCGTCGCCTGAAATGAACATTCTCTGTGCCGCCTCTCGCAGTGCGAATTATTCGCCCCGGGTAAGCGACAAAGTATCCGTCTGAAATAAAGGAGCTCATGATCTCGCGCACGATAGCAACTAGTCGCACAATGCGAAGACCAAGTTGCATTTGTTGTACAGGGGCCATCCAGTTCCCTTCGATTATGTTCTTCGCAATAGGTGGGACCTCGTGTTCAATTTCCCCTGACAGTCGCAATCTATCGAAATCATTGGTGTTTAAGCGAACATTTGTATTTTCAACGACATATTGGGCTGCTGTCGCCCTAGCCTCTATCCCGTGCAGAGATATATTTATTGAGCTGTCCTCGCAATGGTTATATGGATAACCGTTGGGCTGATCAAGGTTGATCGCCCCTTCGGTTATCAGCGTGGCCTTAGGCCCGCTGAGTGTTGAGAAGTCAAGTTTGACCTGTAAGTTCGCGCCTGCCGTCGCGGCTTCGCCGGAGGCAGGTTGCAGCATCGGTGCTATGAGGCGATGGTCGCGACACTCATTGGTTCGTCTAGTGACAGAACGAGAGTCACGACTCGGCCTCACCTCGAGGCTGTTTTCCCCGGCAACTGGTAGGCGTCCGCGAGGGCTTTGCCCTGCGGCGTCTGCGGCGTCTTCTTGCGGCACAGGCATCCACGGTGTCCCCGTGGATACCGCATTTACTATCGTCTAAAGTGTCGGGACGACGACGTTTTGCCTGGTCATCGTGTGATGCCATCTCTCCCAACCGTTCACCGGTTCGAGGACATCGTCTCGGTAATCTGGCCAGTCGAAGGCTGCCAGAGCCGGGCACGACATTGGGCGTGCATACTGGTCAATATTCGTTTGCCAAAGCAAGGGCCACCATACCTGAATTGCAGGAACCTGCGTCCTCGCTCTTAAAGCAGAGAATGAGAGCCATTCAATGAACCTTCGTACCAAGGGCTTCAAATACTGAAAGAAAGGGCCATGGCGCGCCGGCGGCTGAGCCGCGGCATCCGCTGGAACCCAAGCAGGGAAGTTGCCTAGCTGGCTGTTCCCAAAGATCTGACCTGCAGCAGCCATCCGCGTGAATCCCCCTTCTACTCACTTACGCTCCTGCTGTTGGTTACTGCTGATATTCTTTATCACAATCGCAGAAGCTCTCTGTTGTCTTCTCGTACGCGTACCGATCCACTCAGCACGCGCATTGGGAAGATCATGGGGGTCATTCGCATGTACTTTAAGTCCATTTGCCTCAAGGGATTGCGGGATGATCTTTCTGTTCCACGTCTGGGCCATATAGTCGTGAGTGACTCTATGTTTATATTTGATCCGACAGTTGCAAACTGGACAGTGTCCGAAGCCCGTGCGCACCCAGTGAAATTGGTAGCGCAGAAACCTACCGTCGTCGTCCCAGGGGACAGACAGAACACGTTCTTGCGCTTCGGGTGACAACTGGGGCCTGTGATTTGGAATCAACGATAGCGTCTCGTCAGTGTGAATCCAAGCGATCATTGATTCATTGTCAAAAGTCACTTCGTACGAGGCCCACTCACGGTTGAAAATAACAGAACAGAACATCTGGTGTGCCCCAGTGATATCTTGAGGTCCAACTCTAACAAGGGTAACAGCCTTGTCGATATCAGTGAACCTCGGCACCTCTCGAGACACAAGGGTCCCGTCTTGGCAAATCCTATGCGAGAAACGAGTGAGCACTCGGCCAGCGAAAACAAGAATTAGTGGCCAGGGTTCTCTGTGTCTGGGGAGCTTATCCCATAGATGGACTGTGTCCTCTGCGGGCCATGTCCCTATCGTTGGCAGCTCTCTTCCTTGCGCATTACGGCCCATGGACGCGAAATGCCTTGCATGGAGAGCCCCCCCGTACCTCCGCTGGCTGAGCCACGGAGGAATACGCGTTGCATCAGGCATTGTTGGGCTCCTCTTAGTCGGAAGCAGCCTTAGCAAGTCGCAGTCTGCTTCAAGGCAAAGCCCCGAATCTTTCTTCGGAAAGCGTGCTCTCCCATCCGTGGGTTCTAAGAACGTCTGCATGTCTGTGACGTAGAGAAGGGGTCCGTAACTCCTGACTTGGCCAGGGTCGCATGGGACGCACATTCTTTCAATGGAAGCAACAAAAGTGGAATGCCCCTGGCATGCACGATAGAAGACAGGTATGGCAACAGCGCTTCTTTGTTTTTTCCTGCGAGGGGCACGCCATGCACTTTCGCCACATGTTGTGAACACTTGTTCCACCAATGTTGTCACTGTCTCTAGGGAGTATTCCCAAAACCTCGACTGTCTCCGATTGCAGCGCGGCTAAGCCGCGTGCAGCAAGAGCGTATGACTGGTAAGTGAATCCGTCCTCTGCAATCTTCTGCACTAGGTCTCCGAAATAGACCCAGCCACCCGATGATCTCGCATCGTCCGAGCAATGCCTCGCGATGTATACCGCGCACTTACCTATGTGCTCAGCAAACTTGTCCACTCGGCAGCTCTGGGGACTCCAAAACTCCATAGTGCCTAAGGCAGCTGGATTCTTGTTATCCTCAACCCCAACTACCAACGGTTTCAGGCACCTAAAGGACTTCGGAGTAAAGCCTTCTGGGACATCTTCCGAATAAAACTCGGCTCGAAGAAACTCCTTTGCTTGATTGAACGTGCCGTCATCTTGGTTGAGGTTGCCCAATAACGCGAAAATCGGGTCTTTCTGCAATATATCTAAGCGTATTACCTGTCTGATTGCGCATGGTTTCAATGTGCGGCGGAACGGGGCCAGTCATGTGGGCTTCGCGGACTTTCTGTCTCATCGCACCAGGCGTGCTCTGAATGATTTGTCCGCGCTCTCCATTTGAAACATAAAGCTGTCTGCCTCTAAACGAGACAGCATGCCCAACATTGACCTCCTGATCCCCTTCCTGGGGATACAAAGGCGTGGGCTGACGCTGCCTTCTGTCAGGAGCAGGTGGCAGAGTCACTCTGCGGAATAAGTTCTCAGATGCTGGGCCTAGAGGGTAATTCTCGTCTTCCATAAAATGCGGGTTCAGGATCCTCATCGCGTGGAAAAGCTTTAACATCCTCAGGGTCAGCGCCTGCTTCCAAGGACCCCGGGGTGCCTGAGGCATCCGGGTTCTGTCCTGCAGAGGGAATTTCTGCTTCCTGACGTTCGCTCGAAGTGGCTGCTGGTGCTGGCGCCTTGGCAACAGGTGCAGTCTCATCCTCCGACGGCACGACCGTGGGGGAAGACTGCTCTTGATATGCCTCAGGCTGTTCAACATGAGCCCCCGAGTCTACCATCATCTCATCGTTCTTCTTTTGCTCCTTTTTCCGCTCTGGCTGAGCCAGGCGGAGGAGGCGGAAGGTTCTCTGTCACGGCTGCGCCGGACGGAGGTGCAGGAGGAGTTGGAAGTCTGCTTCCACTCGCAACAGATTCTCCTTTTGCTTGAGGCTTAGACCCCTCTCTTTTCAGGTACCATAGGAGCACGGGCGAAATTCGGATCCACTTGGAGGATCTGACCAACGACAACGTCCGCAAATTTCGTCCATGGACCCGAATAGTTTTCCGGATCATGCTTGTCCTGTACAGTGTACCTCATGTACACATATTTCGTAGCCTGGATATACGCTACAGCATCTATTCTGCGTTCTACAAGCTCTTCCGCTTCGTGCGACCTTGCTCTAAGGTCACGCCACCTGTGAAAGAACTGTTTCTCTTTTTC